GCCAGAATGGAGGGAAGTGTCAAACAAGAGCTTGATTCACAAAGCGTTGTGGGCCCAATGGAACTCTCTGGCCGTAGAAAATGGTTTGCTCAAAAGAGTTTGGGAAAGTGCCGATTGGAAATCCACTAAGAGCCAACTGGTTATCCCAAAAGACCGAGTGGAAGATGTATTGAAAGAAATACACGACGGAACTTCAGGGGCACATTTCGGAGTTAACAAGACTTTGGACAAAATTCGGGAACGTTTTTATTGGGTTCACTACCATGAAGACGTTAAAAGCTGGTGCCGAAAATGCGACATCTGTGCTACCAGTAAAGGCCCTAAACTAAGATCTCGGGGGCCCATGAAACAGTACAACGTCGGTCTTCCATTTGAAAGAATAGCCATAGATGTAGCCGGACCGTTTCCAGAGATAGAGCGAGGTAACAAATACATCTTAGTTATCATGGATTACTTCAGTAAATGGCCAGAGGTTTTCGCTATTCCCAATCAAGAAGCCATCACTGTTGCCCAGGTGCTAGTGGACGAAGTTTTTAGTCGTTATGGTGTGCCACTAGAGTTACATTCAGACCAGGGACGAAACTTCGGATCTGCCATCTTTAAGAAAATTTGTGAGATCATGGGTATTCGTAAGACAAGGACAACATCCGCAGTCTGATGGCATGGTAGAACGATTCAATAAGACCATAGAGGAACACCTGACAAAAGTGGTCGCAAGGAACCAGCGAGATTGGGACAAGCATTTGCCTCTATTTTTAGTGGCTTATAGAGCAGCTGTTCACGAGTCAACAGGTGAAAGTCCAGCCAGAATCGTTTTTGGAAGAGAACCATAGGCGGTTCTAGGTGGGGGCTTGGGGGAGCTTAGCCCCCCAAATTTAAATTAGTGATGAGTGGCAAAAGTTCGCAGTCCCTGAATAAAAAATATTCAAGCGTTAGGATTAATTAACGACATAATTTCAATAATTTCACGATAATCGCGGTTCTTTAAAATTAAGATTTTCTGAACAGAGCGAAGAATTAGCTTTGGCAGTCGACCAGTTTTTAAGTCCCAATTACGAAGATTCCTCGTACTTCATAGAATTTTATAGTTCCTCACTAAATATTAATAAAGATTCATTGAAAGCCGAGATGACTGTCGCTAAAAACTCAATTAATAGTGTAGATATTACCCTAGAAGAGCTACAAAAATCGGTTAACCAATCGACGTTTCCTAATCTGTATAAATTGATTCAAATAGCAATTATATTAGCAGTTTCATCTGCAACCTGCGAATGATCTTTTTCTGCGATGCGTAGAGTCAAAACTTGGCTACGAATGTCGATGTTGCAGGATATAGCTTTATAAAAACCATATTTTTGTAAAGAGTTTTTGTTTTTGTAAATTTGGTATATTTTTTTAATGAAAAAGTAGTTATTATTGGCGCCAGTGGGATTTGAAACCATTTCTTTGGAAGAACATTGAAAATGTAACAGCGATAGTAGTTTCGAATCCCACTGATATCAAACATTTTTAAATTTAGCTCTTTTTCTATTTCATAAATAAGTAAATCAAAAACAATTTTGACTAAATATTTATTAAAATACTAGCTGACCCGGCGAACTTCGTACCGCCTCCGAATTATCAAACACCTATAAAATCGATCTAATCTAGGTCAATCAAATTCGGCTTATACAGTGTGATTTTTTAAGTGTGCAACATATGGGGATTTTTTTTTAGTAATACCACAACCCAAATACAAACAAGGCCAAAAGTTGGTGCATGTCTGATAATCACAGTGGCGGATTTAACATGAAGCAAAGGACGCACTCTGCGTCGGGCCCCCAGAGCTGAGGGGCCCCCACACAACCGGATTCTCAAGGCATCGATAAAAAAATGAATATTAAAAAAAAAAAAAATTGAAAGTTACGGCAACGTTGTATACCTATAGGGAAGCTACTGTGATTGTTCATTCTTAGATTTCATTGGCTGTGCTCGACTCGATACGGCAAGCGCATATTACACTTTTCTGATCTTTTTTTTTACAAATAATTATTTTTTCAATTAGGCACTATAGCTGACGTCACACATATATCCTCACTTTTGATAGGGGGACAAACAAAGCGTTTGAGGATTATTTACACACATCGGTTAGGGGATACAGCTATTACATCACAAATCACATAGCGTCAATTTCGTAGGGGGACAAACATGCAATGACCAAACATATCATTATTGACGGCCTTTTCCACCAACTACATATTTTAGAGAAGCCTTGATGATAAGTATTTCTTAAAATGACAGTTTTCCATGGAGAAATGTCAGTTTGAGGAATAGGTACTTATTGTTAAGGCTTCCCTAAAATAGTTGATGAAAACAGCCACGAGATAAACAAACACTTTGTTATATCCCCCTATCGAAATTGAGGTTATATGTGTGACGTCAGCTAATGCCTCCAACCTCCAACACCACAAAAAAAAAACCTAAAAAAAGCATGACAGGGCCCCAAAAAAATTTTTACGTCGGGCCTCAAAGGTCCTAGATCCGCCACTGGATAATCATATTAGGTACACTTAGAATGGTTGCAAGTCAAACAGCATACAGGGTAGCTCAAACAATATCAAAGCTGGTACTGTAAAGTACCCTTATTTTAGAAAATTCAGAAAATGTTATAGAGAAAAGTTGTTTGGAATTAAAAGTTATGCCTAAATACCAAAACATAGCCTCCTAAGATTTTTTAAATTTTTTTTCGAAAAAAATCTATAATTTCTACCTATATTTTTTTTATTTTTTATTTCCACCCTTAATACTTTCAAAAATTAATTAAAATCAAATCAATTTTACATAAATTTGCTCAAATTCAAGCATATTTGTAAAATTAACTTAGATTTTTAATTTTTTATGGAATCACAAAATTCATGTTTGTTGCAATGATATTCAACACAACTTTAAAATGTCGCAAGTTTTTTTTTTACAATTTAAAACATTACCAATGATAATAGCCATATTAAAAAAACTCTCCTTAAAGTGCAAAAGTTTTATTTTATTCAAGTGAATATTAGTAGAATTTTGATATTTTTTGAGCCACCCTGTATGCTGTTTGACTTGCAACCATTCTGAGTGCACCTAATATGATTATCAGACATGCACCAACTTTTGGCCTTGTTTGTATTTTGATTGTGCTATTACTAAAAAAAAATCCCATATGTTGCACACTTAAGTAATGACACTGTATAGAGATACGTGATATTAAATTCAAGATCGGTCTAGCCGTTCTCTATTTCAAAAATTAATAAAGTTACGTCGGTTGAATGCGCAAGCCTAAATAAATGAAATGTGGCAACGTTGTTTCTTGTTGTCAAAAAAAATGTTAGCTTATGTTGTTATGTAATGTGATTGACTTTGCTTATAATTAAATTAATAATTAATTCAAAATTAATTTCTTTTTCCGAGATGCGTATCCTATCCAAAAACCTTCCTTGGGATAGCCATAACAACCTACCAAAGCTTCATCGTAATCGGATAAGTGGTTTAGGAGCGCATAAGGCACAAACAAACAAACAAACATTGATTTTTATATATATAGAGAAAGATAGTAATAGCGCTTTCGACTTTTGTCTCAAAATTTTTCCCGATTGATCAAAAAGCGATCCGAAGCGGATTCACGTGTTCGACTTGAGCAATAAACGCTCTCAAATCTCACACTGGCGCTATTCCTTGCTCCGTCAAATTCGATAGATCAATGATTGATCAAAAACAAAGTACGTTCGGCTATTGATTTCAAATAGGGTGCCCTCGCTTGGATCATAATTGCTCTCGGAGCACTTCCGCAGAGATCTGTGACGTCACCGCTCAAATAGAGAGCGCTCTGGGAGCCGAAAATGCTATAAGATAAAACTGTTACATCGGTTGAATGGCATTGAATGCGCGAACAAAAATAAGTTGAGTTATGCAGTGGTGAAAAGCAGAAAAAAAAATATTTTTTTTAAGGTGGACCACCGTTATCACTTAGGGGTATAAAAAATAGCTTAAAACCTATTCTCAGACTTACCGAATATACATTTAAAATTTCATAAAAATCGGTGAAGCCGTTTCGGAGGACGAAGGTAACTAAAACTGTGACATGAGAATTTTATATATCGCCGTTCCAGCACAACATCGACGCAACTGCTAATTTTTAATAAAATGAGTTAAGTGCATCCATAAATCCCAAAAGCCCAAATTTATTCGCTGACAAAACGACATAATTGTAGTAAGACGATTTACCCCTAGATGGTAGTTGCGTCGTTTTTGATATTTTGACATTTGATATTACCCATCCGCGACAACACGGACGCATCGACTAGTTGTGTTGCGGATTTTGCGAGAGGTTGTACTCGTTCAGTGCAACATGGGCGTAAATGTGTTTGTGTCTGACTGATGTAATTATGGTTCACTCTATTGAGGAAAACAACGGCGTAAGTATACTTTATGTCCACTTTCTGATAAAAATATTTTATTTATCTAGAATCAACAAAGCCTCGATTGTACTTTATGTCTTTTCTGCTATAAAAATTCTATGATTTAATGGCATAAATGTAATTATTGTCCCCTATTTTGAAGCAACATAGACATAATTGTACTTTGAGTCGTTGTTTCTTTGAAAATTATATTTTAATTATAACATTTTAGGACACAAATGTTCTTTATGGCATTTTTTGCTGCAAAAGTTTTAAAATATATTCAGTTGCGCTCAATTTATCCTAATTTAATTTCAACTAGTCTATAGGTAAAAGACATAATAAAATCATAATATTCAACAAAGTTTATGCTAGTACCTTTGTTGGTTAATTTCATAGTTCAAGTACTGGACAAATCGAAATGAAAAATGTAGGTTCCTACTCTACTAGGTGCTTATCTATTTGTTAAATTCTATACCTAAGACAATGAGCCTCTACTACTTTTTTAACGGTTGATTTCGAAACAAAAGTTATTATACTTTCATTTCTATTAGCAAATTAAGTTAGCTTTTCTGTTACAGAAAAATGGGTTCTCGAGCACGTAAAATTTTAAAACTTCTACAATCGCAAGAACAACATAACTCCAGCAGTGCTAATAATAATACCCAAATTGTACAAAATAGTTCAGAAAGTAATATTTTTCCGGGGCCTTCAACTTCAAAAAGTTTCTTCAAGGACCAACAAAATTTTGATTTAAATTTTACAAACACAACTTATCCTGGAACATCTAGCGATACTAAATCACCATCTGATGACTGCAGCGAAAATACTGTTTCTCCTTTTTCCTTAAATTTTTCCACAAGGAAAATCAATGAACAAAGTAATAAACTCGGTTTTATTGAAGATGCTACCACAGAATATCCTCTTGCAGAAATACATAATAATCGAAGTCAATTTGCTGATATCCATTCTTCTGAAAATAAAATGAATGAACCAAATCTCCAGAATGAACCATATAGAAGTCAGGTTCATAGTTATTCTCTATCGCCACATAACAGTCGAAATTCTGACAAAAATTACCGATCTACAAATCACAGTCCTAGTTATTCTTCATTACTGAGTACTGACAAAATCAACGAGCCGGAAAATAAGACTGAACCAACTACAAATCAAGTTCCTACCTATTCTTTATTACCGATATCAAGTAACAGTCAAAACTCTAAGACATTGACTAATTATTCGTCAGTACTAAGCACCAGCCAAAGCTCTGACAAAAATAACGATGCAGAAAATAAGACTGAAACATCTACAAGTCAAGTTCCTAGCTATTCTTTATTACCATTACCATGTAACAGTCAAAACTCTAAGAATATTAACGAACCAAATGACATTCCTAATGATTCTCCAGTACAAAGTACCAGCCAAAATTCTGACGAAAATAACGAGCCAAATAATAAGACTGCACCATCTACAAATCAAGTTCCTAGCTATTCTTCATTACCAAGTACCAGCCAAAATTCTGACCGTTACATTGTCGAAAATCGAGGTTCTACGAAAATAAGCCTGAGAAAAGTTAAGCTAAACTACAGAGTATCCGATTCAGAGCAGGAACCCTTTTCTTCTGGATCAAGCGATAACTATGAACCAGACTCTTCAAGCTCATCAAGTGAGTCGGATTCTTCAAGTTCATCAGGATCGGAGCCAGAAGTTATGAGGCCTGTGACGACAGATCAAGCCGAGCAACAACCAGATTCACCAAAAAAAGGTAAAAAACGACTAAGAAAGGAAAGCAACTGGAAAAGGGCGAATAGGAAGAAATCGAAAAATTCAGGACAAGAATATACATCAGCAAGGGGCAAAACTGTGTTGGCAAAAAGTATGAAGCCTCCTTGTCAAAATAAATGTATTCTATCATGCTCTAAAAAAATTTCACAGGAATATCGACAGCAACTTTTCAAAGAATACTGGGAGTTAGGATCTTATCAACGTCAGCGTGACTTTTTGGGTTCATGCGTTGATAAACTAAACCTAACGTATAGAAGAATTTCGTCCGCCACACCAAGAAACCCAAACTGCGCCTTTTATTTCTACAACAATGGTGAGAAAATGCGAATATGCAAAACTTTTTTGATAAATACACTTGGTATATCTGAAAAAACGCTACGAACGGTTATCTATTCAAAAGTATCTGGGAATGGTGTAATAGTTGAAGATCGTAGAGGAAAGCATAACAAACATAAAAAAATTGATGAAGAGATTATAAATTCAGTGAGAGAGCACATCAATTCAATTCCCCGAGTTGAAAGCCACTATGTTCGTAGTGATACTTCTCGGGAATTTATAGATGGTGGCCTCTCTATTGCAGAGATGCACAGAAATTATTCGGAAAGAAGAAGAATTTTGGATAAACCAATAGCAAGTTACGACTTTTATGCAAAAATTTTTAACACGGAATTTAATATTGGGTTTTTTAATCCCAAAAAAGATCAATGTGATCTCTGTGAGTCGTACAAAAATTCAGAAGAAAACGAAAAGAAGAATTTGGAAAATAAGTATCAAGAACACTTGAACGAAAAAATCTTAAGCCGTGAAGAAAAAGAAAAAGACAAAATCAGGGCAAAAGATGGAGAAATTACTCTTGCTGTATACGATTTACAGGCAGTGTTGCCGGTACCCATAGGTCAAACATCTGCCTTCTTCTACAAGTCCCGATTGAATTGTTACAATTTTACGGTAAGTTCAATTTGTTGATTTACAAATCAAACTTTTTGGGTTACATAACATTTTTTTTAGATAACAGAAATAGCAAATGACAGGACCAAATCCTTTTTTTGGCACGAAGGTCTTGGTAATAGAGGTGCTATAGAAATTGGATCTTGTGTTTTAATTTATTTAGAAGAACTTTCGAAAATTCGACCAGGCCTAGACGTAGTCTTCTATTCTGATAATTGCGGTGGGCAACAGAAAAATAGGCAAGTGATTGCAATATTTGTGTACCAAAAAATAACAAGCTGCTTTCATAATAATTTATTATCGTTTTAGGTTTTTGATTGCAGCGTATTTGTATGCCTTAGAGCGATTTCAAATTAACTCAATTACACATAAATATCTTATACGGGGTCATACACAAAATGAGGGGGATGCAGTCCATAGCATAATCGAAAGATCACTGAAAAGGTCAAAAAAGTCAGGACCAATCTACATACCGGATCAGTACATTTCCATTATTCGAAATTCGAAAAAGAAAGGAAATCCTATAGAAGTCGTAGAAATGGGTTTTGAAGATTTCTATGATTTAAAAACTTTATTTGAAGAAATGGGTCTAAGCTTCATTAAAAATGTCGAGGGAAACGAGTTTAAAATAAACGATGTCAAAATTTTGCAATTTGATAAAGGAAATGAAATATTTCGGTACAAAACGAGTTATAAACAAAATGAATGGAGCTGCATTAATTTTAGACCTAAAAGAAGACGCTCATCAACTTTACAAAACTACGAAAACATAAAAATTAAGAAAGCTTATTCCAAAAAATTTCAATTATCAGAGAATAAAAGAAGAGATCTGAAAAGCTTGATTGACAGCAAGATAATTCCCGCGTTTTATAGGCATTTTTTTGACTCTGTCACAAGCTAATTCAATTTAGAATATTAGGTACCTATACGTTCTTATTATTTTGTTAGATAGAATGTGCCTTAATTTTGTGTGAGTAATTTTTTTATTTTGTTTTGGAGTTAGTATTTTCGAAAGAGTGTTTATTTCAAGTTTCTTTTGCAATATTAGTATTAAGAAAATTATAAAAATGTCGTTTTCGAGTTGATTTTTTTATTAAGTACCTAGTTTGTGCCTACATCTTGTGTTTAACTTGTAAGAGTGGAGAAAATGTTGAAAAGTTCTAATAAAAATGATGTAAAAACTGGACGCAAATGTTTCATTTATTTATTTATTTCAGAGAAAAAAGACGTAACTGCAAAATCTAATTCATCCTCCACTGTAAACAAAAATTCCTTCACTGTATTGGAAACTACCCTCTCAACATTATGCATACCAATAATTTCATAGACATCACTTAATTAGGCTTCTTACGATACATAATTCCACTAAAATTGAATTTTATTTTCCTGTTCCTGAACATTTTACGGTTTCGCAGTTACGACGATGTTGTTCTGGAGCGGCGATATTAGATAAGGTTTTTGGGCGTGGCAGCCACCTCAGAGCGACCTTGGTGCAGGGGCTTCAGCCCCCCCAGCACAGATGGGCTAGAACCGCCTATGAAGAGAACAGAATGCGATCTGATGTTTGGGATACCTGAAGAAGAACGAAAAGAAATTCGAGACTATGCCGACGCCCGACGAAGTAAGGGAACGACTTCTGGGTATCCATGATTTTGCTCTGGAGCATATTCAACTAGCCAGTGACCGGATGAAGACCAGATACGTGAAGACCAGATACGAGCCAAACTCAACAGTTTATTCTTATGCAGGAAAGCCACAAAGGTGGGTCTGAAATTAGAGGATATCACCACCCTTATAAATTGGTATTACAACCGCCGCCACCTTCAATGAACTTGGGAAAAAACCAAGAAAAAAAGAATGGTTTATGGCACCAACCAAGCATCAAGCGCAGACCTTGGCAACTCCTGCATGAGTTTGAAGGAGATACCATCATATCCAGCTGCATTCTTACTCATATCCTTATAGGTCTGCTCAATTTCCCTCAAGTCCCTAGGTACAAGAAAAAAAGGCTGAATAACACTAACACTTTGTAGAAAATCCAATGGATTGCACCGAGGAACAATACCACTTGCAAGCTTCCACAAATTTATTCTACTCATTTGGCGTAACGTCAGTCTGGGCCTCAATCCTACTATGCTTTCCCCTGAGTTGATTAACAATTTGCCAACTCTCTCTCTCTGCCCATTCTGAGAATTGACTATATAAAACCCCAGCCAGGGCAGCGATCTCTCCCCCACACTGTTCAACATATTTATAAGCGACATTCTCAAGCAAGACAACTATATGCCGATGACATAACCGTCTTCACCTGCTCCAAATTACCAGACGTTGCTACGGCAAGAATTAAAGACCATTTCGAGCAAATTGTAATTTTTTCCGACAAATTGAAACTAAAGATCGATGAGGTCGGCAAAACCCAGATCGTCAACTTCAAGGTACGGTTTGTCAGGATCAATGACCTATTAACACAGATAGACAGAACATCCCATTGATAAAATAGCTTTGTTTTGGTTGACTACATGTTTATGGGCCAGGGGGGGTGAGCTGTGAGAGCGGCTAGGAGTAGGGATTCAAATGATTCCGCTAACTCTGCCCCCATTTCACTATCGCATACTTGGCAACTCTGAAAATAAAACCAGAATCAGTGCTACAAAAGTGTATTTTTATCCTTATATTTTACATAATTTTAGAAAAAGATGCGGATACACTCGCACTGCGTACTGATTGACAAATGGACGTTGTCATAAAATACCTGCAGGTCGCATTTTGACATGACAATTGAATAGAAGCCGCTGATTGGTGAAAAGGTGGAATTCGAGGTGGGATTTATTTTTTTGCAGCGTTGCTAATTTTCATTGAAAAATAATCGCTTTCCACGTGTTAGAGAAAGATACAAATGAACACAAGGATTAATAAGTAGTGGGGAGAGATGCGGTTCCTGGCATGTAGTCAACCGATATTATTGTTTATTGTTCTGTCTATCTGTGTTAATAGGTCATTGGTCAGGATAGTACGCAACGCACAACTGACAACGTAAACGTCGTCATTGGTTCAGGTATGACGTACACCCGTTTTCTGACGTCAGAAAACGGATATACGTTTGGTGTACGTCATACCTGAACCAATGACGACGTTTACGTTGTCAGTTGTGCGTCGCGTACTATCCTAACAAACCGTACCTTTAATCACAAAAGGATTAGACACCGCACTACAATACGCATCAACAACTTTGAACATCCAGGATACAGATAGATGACGTGCCCTACCTGGGAGTGAAGCTGGATAGGAAAACGAGTCTCTAACCACACATAGATAAAACCCTAAAAAAAACAGATTATAGTGTCTGAGTAGGAGTGGCTGCCAGCACCATCTACCCATTCATTCCGAGACAATCCAGACTGGACAGCATAATGAAGTGAAGTAAAAAATCTACGCGGCGTACGTAGGCCCAGTCAACTGTCACAAATCCAAATAGGCAAGCTTGGTAACAAAAATGCTCACGAACTGATCCTCGGAGATACCCAGGGCAGTTCAACACGTATATAACATTTATACAGTGACCAGTGTGTCCAAGATAAGGATAGGAGAGCATCATTAGGATCTGGAGAACGGTTGGAGTTACAATGTGGGTTAGATTAGGAAAAAGTTGCGCAATTTAACGCTCAATAAAATGGTACTTTGACATCAGATATTTGATATTTGAAAAAGTCCGAATACTTGACGTTTCGGCTCACAGCCACCATCATCAACTTCATTTTTTTAAATACTGACCCTTATTTTCTATTATAAATTTTATAAGCTTCTGATGTCATGTCCCAAAGCCAACGACGTATTACACTTATGCAATTTATATTAGCTATTTTCGGGTTCGAAAAAAGGACAGTTCTAGAACGGTTCAAAAAAATCGCAGTTGATTATTGAAATTTGTGATAGCTGACTGAGCCGTTGTCATTTTGTTGATTGATGAACTGTGCGATTGTTTTGACCGTTCTAGAACCGTCCTTTTTTCGAAACCGAAAATAGCTATTATTAGCACTTTCCATAAGAACTTAATGTGTTAGAGAGAGACAGAAAACAGAGTTTTGATACAAAATTACTAAAAACTAACAAAAATATATTTTCGAATAAATGCGATACGTCATAGGTTCCGGGAATTCAGGAGCTCTTAAAATGTGAAAAAAAATCAAGGGTATTTAAAAAAATGGAGTTGATGATGGTGGCCCAAAGACGAGTCGTCAGATTTTAAATTTGAAAATGTCATCTTGTAAAGTAGAAAAAGTTGTTACGATGAAGTTTTGTTTATTTTTAAATATCTCCTCAAATAGGGTCAGAAAAAAATAAAATCGATTTTGCAAAATTTCGATTGTTTCCGGATATCCCGGAAAGTGTTTCCTTATCTTGGACACACTGTATATCAAAATCTCTCAAAGACGTTAAACAACAAAGAGACCAACGTTTTTACAGATATACGACCTAGCTACTCGAGAACATCAATCATATTGGAACCTACACAAGAGAGACCATGCTGTACAGACTGATGTATTTTTTTTATACAGAGTGATCCACTCTGTCCTACTAGAAGTCATAGCAATAAGACCACACGTATCATGTGTAATAAAAATGTAATTTTACAAGTTAGAAAAACGCGTCAGAATGTCCATTTCTTATAACAAACTTTATTAATTAACATTATAATAAAACATGATTGAAAACGAAATCAACTAATTAAATTAATCTTAGAACGTCATTAAACATGATTGATAAAAAATTAAACTAGCCAAATTATTATTAATTGAATTGTTATAAAGTTTTTTAACAATTTTGACGAAGGTTTTGGCACTGTATTAATGATCAATCCTCCTATACATTAACAACTGTTTGTACTGTGTTTGTAAAAAAATGCCTTCAAAAATTTGAATAATTATTATTATGGTGTAAGAACAGGAATAATACTGATTTACTCATGAACTTTAAATAGCAATGAAAAAAATTGTATATTGCTAAACACTTCCTTAGCCACTACTTGTTAATTGTAAAATACTAGTATGCAACCCATACATAAATAGTATCAGTGGCGGATGTAGAGGGGGGCGCCCCCCCCCCCCCCCCTATTGAGCGACGCAACAACGAAATTTTTAACGAAAACACAAACATATTCATCAAGCATTATCCAACATGAAATTCCATATGGTTTTTGCTATTTTTCCAAATTTTTAATACTTTTAAATACGTTTGGCAGCAGCGAGCTGGGAGCGAATCGACTGCGGATGACGTAAATCCGCACCAACTTTGAATTTAATCTATAATTGAAAATTCCAATTAAATTTAATCTCCGATTAAATTAAATGTTGATGTCAAATGATAGTTTATGAAAATCTAAGATAGGAATGTGAAATCGGTTTTCCTCTGAAATTAACCGTTCAGGTTTTACAGCCTGTCAAAGTTGCAAAAAGTCAATGTTCAACTGTCAATATTTCCAAAACAGTTGAACTTAGGTATAGGGTATATCACATGAAATCTGCTCAGAATTTTACGTAGAATCCAAATATGCAATCACATACAGGGTGTTTTATTTGAAAAAAAGAAAGTTGGTCTAGATAGCAAACAAACCAGAAGTGACACAGGCAATACGTTTAAGTAGAATTGTGGGAAATATTAGGGACATAAAGCTACTTGAAATAATTCATCGGTATCGGTAGCCGTAACGCAACTAGATACGTTGACAAGCGAAAAGGCTGTTAAAGCGCTCCCTGTTCCGGTAAACGTAAACGCATTTCATAACCTAGACATTTTTGTCTCAAAACTTCGGCGTTTTTATATCTAACCTTAAAATTGTTATTTTTTTTGCGATAGAGAAGCACTAAACACACAAGAAACTCAAGAAAGTATAAACTAAACAAATTAAATCAACCCGGAAGAAAAGGGAGGTTATATTCATTTGAAATTTGACACATGCGTCAGGAATGTCAAGATACGTTACCGATACGGATACCGCGAGAGGGCCGTAACGTTACGTTGTACGTACGGTATCTCGGCCTCCGTATCGCTTCTGCACATGCGCAGTACGATACCGATACGGATACCGAGCAAAAAATACGGAAGCTTTATGTCCCTAATTTACTGAGCAACTTTCATTAAGGTCACTTTTTCGTATACGAGGTAATTAGAAAGTTACAGGTATTTACGCGACTTTTTTGCCACTCTGTATATTTAAGTCGTTTTTTTATTATTTCTTATCTGAGCCTGAGGCCCTGATGGATCGCCCCCCCCTAGAAGGAATCCTAAATCCGCCGCTGAATAGTATTTCACATTATTAGCCAAGTAAAACAGTTTTCACTGGTGATTGAAGGAAATGAGTAGCGAGCCGTCAGGCGAGCTTGTCACCTTCAAGAGCCAGTAAAAACTGATACCTGGCGTATGATGTACAATAATTTATTTGTTGTGTGTACAAATGAGTGACAAATAATAGTATATTGTGTATTTAGGTGGAAAAGTGACACATTCTCGGCCGACGGTGTAAGTTGACGGGCGAGGCGTAGCCGAGGCCGGCAAACACCGAAGGCCGAGAATGTGTTTTTCCACCGAAATACACATACTATTTTTTCTGCGATCGGTTAAATACCTGTTAAATGTTTATCTTTTAGTTCCAATTATTCAGAAGTACGAGAATCACTTTCCCGGCCTAGGCCGGAAAAGTGTTTCCCGTATTGTTATTCATTGATTCCTTAGCAACTATTGAAACATAATTGCAATACCAGAATATTGAGTTTTCGACCTGTCAACCGATCAAAAATGCTGATATTTCTTGTCAATCGCAGAAAATAGCTATTTACCTAACAAGTGCGGAAAATGAATTTTTCCGCACGCGGCTGCCGTTCACCGAACGACGCGTAGCGGAATTCGGTGAAGCAGCCGAGTGCGGAAAAATATTTTCCGCAAGTGTTAGGTACAATATTTTTCCTACAGGCGTAAAAATGTAATATTTTTCTTTTTTTTTTGACAGATCAGTGCGGTAAAATTTTTTCCGCACTGACAGCCGTGCGGAAAAACTTTTTCCGCACTGATATGCGTGCGGTAAAAGTTTTACCGCACCGTGCGGGAAAACTCATGTTCCGCACGCATAACAGTACGGAAAATCGATTTTTCCGCACGGCTGTAGGAAAAAGTATTTTTCACAAGAGTAAAAAAGAGACATTAAATATTTGCAAAAATTACTAGTGCATACATAAGCTTTGTTCGGGTTTGAAAAGAGGACCATTCAAAACAATCACACAGTTTATTATTGAAATTTGTGATAGCCAAGTTGTTGTCATTTTGTTGATTGATAAACTGTGCGATTGTTTTGAACCGTTCTAAAACCATCCTTTTTTCAAACCCGAACAGGCCCATTCTAAACAGTTGTTTATTAAAGTATGAATTGTAATGCTGATGGAGAAGGGCAAACAGTTCGTTAATTTTTATTGTAGCATAGGGCTCATTAGGTACTGAGCTGGATCTAGAAAAATTGGACATTTATGCGAGTCAAGGTAATCACATATTAAAGTAAGACAGTATAAAATTAAATAAATCTCAGACATGTTAATAATAAATTTATAACTACATAAGTCTCCTTTTATATGCATAAAGATCTTCATGATCATAATAGCTATGTATTACATTATACATATGCTTAAAAAAATATAGTAAATTGTCATATTGTCCATTATAAGCCTTACTATCATTACTATATAAATTTTGAATTTCCTCTATATTATTTTCAGTAAAACAATTTCTAATACCTGTATAAACTGGGTTCAGACCCCAGCAATGCAAATGGATTTCCAACACAAATTGATGAATTGCTTCAATAGTAGCCAAATACCACCTTGGACTGCCTTTTTGATGTCTCCAAAACTGCGAAATTCGGTTTTGTATGACTACACAAGGTATGGCACGTATTTTTTCATCTTTGTATATGCTTTTACATTGATGCCAAGTGCTATCAATAAATATAGCTTTAGTAATTGGCAAATTTTTGGTTCTTTGCATAAATCCATATTCTTGTCTAGTTTTTGGAATGGTTTGCATCAAAGTACTTCGATTGTAGCCAGAAGGCAACTGATCCAATGGTTGTTGTTGATACTCCAGTATGCTTTCAAAACTGCTACCGCTCACCAACTGACTAACACTGATGGCGTTTTGACCAGGAAAAATCATCACCACTGATTCATTAGTATAATCAGGAATATCTGGATAGGTGAATATATTCACATCTTCATTTGCTAGTAGGGCTGCATGACAAGCAGTGCTTTTTCCATCTATTTCATGTTTATGTTTGATTATGTCAATTTTTATAGGTAACTAAAAGAAAAAAAACCTTTGAAAAAAAAATATACCTAAATAACTGAAATTTAATTTTTACAAAAAATAGTTGTGGCCGTGGCCAAAAATAAATATTTATCTCATATGCAACAGGTTGTACAGTAGGTAGACTTTTGTTGTCAAGAACCAAACTAAGCAAAGTGTATTCTTGGGTCAAGGGCTGCTCAAATGTTTATTTCATTGTCCTTTAGAGAAGAGAAGGATAGGAAAATTTATATATTACATTCTCTCAATAAAACCTACCTTTACTTTGGGTAATTTTCCTTGTAGAGGAGATATTGGAATAAAACAAGAGTAACAAAACAATTTCCTGGATTTTCCACATTTTGGACAAGGATGTCTGCCTTCTAATTTATTAAGACCTTCGGTATCATCTATGTTAAACCCTTGAAAAGGAATTTGATCAACAAATTGTTGATGGACTTTTGAAATTTTTGGATCTGCCATCTAGAGGTCTACCTAGAAAAAATATTTAAATTGTCATTGGCTGCTTGATTGGATAATGCTGTTGTTATAACTACTTTTTTGAAGGAAATTCTTCTTGCTTTTGTGATAATTGGAAATAAATGATTAAATTCAAGTATTTACGGAAAAACGCTAGGACACGTGAATTAGTATTTTCAGTTGCCAATTTTTTCAACAGGACGGACTCCTGGGAATTCCAAACACATTGGTTTGATTTGATGCGAGGTTTAATGTAATATAGCTTGGTCTAGTACGGTCACAGATTACCCACATACAGATGCGTAAGTAAGGGATCTTGCCGTCGAATCAGCATCGAATATATATTTTTTTAATTTATGACAAACATATTGTTTTTTATCTCTGTCTGTGTGTAGCACTAGCGTAGCATATTGTGTATTTTTTCAATTGTGTATTTCTGTATTGTTTTATATTTTACCCTCGATTTTACCTATTTATTTATTTATCCTAATTTGACTGACATACCTACTAAATAAAGTTTTTTTTTTTTGTTGTTGTTGTTGTGATGTTGTGTCCACTAGTCTTTGAAACCTATGTCAAGAAATGTTGTGTTAAATGAATGTATTTATTATTTTTGTAAATTATTGCCTACGATAATTTCGAGTAATTTTAATTTGATTGCTATTGTTGACTTGCTGGCTTCTAGGTTTAGTTCTAAAACTCGTTCTAAAATTTAATTTAAGTTAGGTAAGCTTTGTCAATAAGATTTTTGTATTCTTGGACAATAAAGCATATTTACTACTACTACTACTACTAATGAAAAGCAACGAAACCTCCCACTCTTTGGAGGCGGCCAGCAACTCGTCGCTCCAACCTGTTGTGACAAAGTATGCCGGACCAATAAGTGTGTTTATCTGCATTGTTACCCCAAAAGCGGTGGACAAAAATCTCTTTTTAAGTTTCCAAAAAATCTTGCAAGGTAAGAGAATTAACTCATAACATCTATTACTATTAAAGTCATACGGGTGACACAAGGAATAGGGAACAACCTATAACTTTTTTAATATATGAGTTGAAAATTTGAAATTTGGGGAGCTTAAACGAGGCAACTTTTTGAGTTTTTTAGAAGTAAATTGCGTTACCAGTCACTTCCGGTTAAACCGGAAGTGGCCATAACTTTTCATTTTCAAATGGGACACCCGGTATTTTTTAAGTTTTCTGGCATCAGCAGATTATTTTATGTATGATAGAACCATTTTTGAAAATTATAACATAACCAAAAAAATATTGCATTTAAAAATAAAGATTTTTCAAAAATTTTTGGGTTTTTTCTCAGCGGATTTTAAAAATGTTGATATCAAGAAATAGGGAAAAAAACCTATTTTTAAAAAATTGATAGGTCCCGGCGTGGTTACATTTGAAAAATATGGATTACTTTTAAAAAAACCTTTTTGTTTAATTTTGATATGAAATTATGGCGTTCAGTTAGGAAAAAATTGAAGGTACAGATTTTCCAGATACTAGGAATATCCAACTAAATCAATTTACACCAGTGGCAGCGCCGATTTTTTTTTTCTAAAAATTGATTCAATTTATTTTTTTTATTGAAAAATTTCCGAAAATGGTCCTATCATACTTAAAATGATCTGCTGATTCCAGAAAACTTATAAAATACCGGGTGTCCTATTTGAAAATCAAAAGTTGTGGCCACTTCCGGTTAAACCGAAAGTGACTGGTAACACAATTTACTTCTAAATAACTCAAAAAGTTGCCTCGTTCAAGCTTCAGATGTCCCAAAACCTATGATGTATCGACTTTATTCGGAAAAATATCTGTATCACTTTTTATTAATTTCCTACCAAAATTCCCTTTTCTGCTTCTCTCACACATTAACTTCTCATGGAAAGTGCCAATAATATAATTTTTTTGGATAAGTGCAATATTTTATTGTTTTTGGAACATCCCAAGCTCTCAAAATCTAAAATAAAAAATCCAGGGTCGTATTTAAAAAACTGAAGTTGATGATGGTGGCCCAAAGACGAAACGTTGGATTTTAAATTTGAGGGTAGCATGTTGTAATAGCAAAAAAGTGGCAATGGTGAAGTGACATTTATTTTGGGATATCTCTTCAAATACGCCCAAAAAAAATAAAAACGCTTTTGTAAAATTTCGGTTTCTTCCGAATATTTCCGGAACTATTCGTAATTTTTAAATTTTCAAAACGGTATTTTGTTGAGCATAAAATTGCGCCTCAATTTATTGGACCTCGTCTCTCCTATGGTTTCTGACATCCCCATGCACACCCTCGAATTTGTAACATCCTGTATAAACATTTTTTTTTTTGTAACAGAAATAATATATTATTGTTAAGCTTCCACATTTATATAATAAATATGTCCAAAATTTATTGGTGCGGCTAACTTTTTTTTAAAGACAACTCGAATTTATGAAAGCATTGGTGCAGCCACACTGCGGCCAGCGTAAGTTCGCCAAATAACTTTGAACCACGGATTTAACGCTCTTTCGCATCTGTATGTAGAGTCCGCGTCAGCAGTAAAGACTACGGTGACGACAGGGAAAGCTGCGCGAAGCGGGTCCGATCTCTCTCCCTCGTCTATCTCTCGCTGTCTGCCGTGAGCTGAAACCAGCAGCGAGGTATCTTTTTAGACGAAACTTGGATAGAAAATAAACTAAATAAATATGCCTGCTGGCCGTACGACAATGAACCACGTGCTTGGCTCCTACCAGTAGGTCCCGTTTGTTTCATTGATTGTGCGCCAACCGTATATGTATAACGTTAAAACATTATGGTAGGTCCCTAATTGCGATATGGCGCCTATCGGTAGGTACTTTTTGCAAAAAAAAATCTGAGCCTACCAGTAGATTCATAATTAATTTAAGAATCCGTTGCCTACTCTACCTATTCATATATTAATATAATCTATTATTATATGTGCATTTACGTTTGATAGGTGATACTTATATTATTTGAAAAAGGTTTTTCACGTTTTTGGTGGATTTACGCTTCCGAGAATGTTCTCTTTGCTTTGAAGTTTGACGAGCAGGGCGAGCAATCGGAGACTCAAAAATATAAATATATATAAGGTACCTATCCCAAATAAGGCCATGTTAAGAAGTTTTATTTTTCCCGAACGCTATCCACCAAACCCAACAAGAATCACGAGCTTATATGTGAAGTGTTTCTCCTCTATTACTTGAATAATAACTCCAATTTATTTATTTTTACATATAAGTGGTGGTTTTTGCGTAAAACAATGACCCTTACCATTGGCCTTATTCGGATCACTATGCTCCTAATAAGGCAAACAATGAAAAATTTTTAAAATAAATAGAATCATTCATAAAAATATTATTTTTCGACATAAAGTTCTCAAAATAGAACTTTAACGTTTGCTGCATTCTAAAAAAACAATAATTTGAAGTCCAGGGATGGTAATCCGAATAGGTCTACATACAACTAGGACAAATGAACCGCAGCTTTTCTTGCTTGGTTAGACTTCAGGCGTTCTAGAACACATCACTTAAGCAATAATATGACACATTCTTTTTAAAAAAACACTGTGATGGGAGGCCAATTGAAAATTTATCATGTGGCCTTGTTAGGAACATGTTACATTGATAAACAAAATTCTGTAACTAGAAATCTAGCAAAGATATTATTCTGTACTTACTCTGTAGCTTTCTCAATACATAAATGTCCATGTAAAAATTACATTCGCTCCATTCCCTTTCTGAACATGTGTATAAACTAATTAAGTTCCAGCCTCAAAGTTATAACGTGACATATGAAATCTGTGGTTAGCCATTTTTCGACATATAACGAGTTGCTAGGAATCCTCGCAATAATTTTTGATTTGCATAATAGATATCTTTTTCAATAATATTTCAATTTTTGATTATGGGATTCAATATTAAGCAATAAGGGGCATTGGCCTTATTAGGTACATGGCCTTATTTGGGTCAGGTACCTTAGATCATAGTATCATAAGTATATTTGAAAAAGGTTTTTCACGTCTTTGGTGCATTTGTGCTCCCGAGGATTCTGTCTTTGATGTTTGGCGAGCAATCGAAGACTCAAAAATAATTTCAGGGTTAGTGCAGCAGGATTTTCAATAGGTTGCCGTCTAGAATAAATTATTAAGCCTGCCATACGTCCCGTATTATACGGGACAGTCCCTCATTTCAAAATCCATGTCCCGCGTCCCCAAATTTGTTGTCGGGACGCGTAAATGTCCCGTATTCTCGATATTACAAAAAGCGTAAAATAATTCGCCCGTCTCATTACCAGTGATGTGCCTGTAGACAATGTCAACGTAAACAATTGATTGTCTACGCGTAGACAATTCGAATTGTTTACGTGAGCATTTGTCTACACATTGTCTACATACGGCGTAAACAATATTTTATTATAAAAAATTCGAAAAAAAATATGAAAAGTTACTATAATATCATTATCACTTCGATATTAGCATTCACTGATTATAAAATATCAGAAAAACCAATAATAAAATAAAAATAATTTTAAAAAAAGGGAAGTGTGAGGTTAGAATTAAACGTCATTTATATTATTTTACATTGTTGACACGTAAAGTAGACAATGAAAGTCTACGTGTAGACGCACATCTCTGCTCATTACCAGTCTCTGTGGTGGCAAAATAAATCGATTTTTGCGCCTCATCTCTAGTCTTAGCAAATCGCAACGTGGTGGTTATTCGTCAGCATTTGACATTTGACAGTTTAGAATTTAGCGAGTTTGGCCCAAGGACCATACACACCACTAAGGATTGCTTATCGGCCTCGTTTTGGGTAATCCCCACCATATTGGTGTATCACCATTGCCGACGTCATCAACTAAGTCATCAGTGACGTCAGCTGTTTGCGCCAGCAGTCGTAGTTTAGAATTTAAATTTATGATGAAAAATGTTATTTTATTTTGATCAAGCATAATAGGCAAATAGAAAGATGGAATCATAACCTGTGGTGATATTATTATTATTATTATTATTATTTTTTTA